TCCTCCTCCCTGTCCCTCCTTCCTGAGGAAATTGGAATGGAACGAACCTCCTCCTTCTCCTGCTCCCTCCTGAGGGAAAAGAAAGGCGCGTAACCTCCTCCTCGCCGCCTCCCGTCCCCAGAAGGAAAGGATAGGGAAGGCGCCTCCTCCTCCTTTTTACAGAGGGAGAAGGAAGAAAAGGAACCTGCTCCTCCTCCTTCCTGGAGAGGAAAAGAAACGTAACCCCCGCCTCCTATCCATTCGTCTCTGTCTTGAGGAAGAGGGAATGGAACGAATCTCCTTCTCCTTTCTGAAAGAAGGGAAGGGGTGGGGCCTTTTTTTCTCACCGCCTCCTTCCGGACGGAAGGGGCCTCCGCGTCCTCCATCCAGAAGGAAAGGGGAGGGAAGGAACCCTCTCATCCTCGCCCTCCTTCCTGAAGGAGAGGGAGGGGAAGCGACGTCCTCCTCCTTCCTGAAAGGAGGGCAGGAAAGTCACCTCCTCCTCCTCCTCCTCCTCAGCCCCCTCCTGCCGGACGGAAAGGCGGGGGGGCCTCCTCTTCCTTCCTGAGGGCGCGACGTGGGGCGGAACCGCGTCCTCCTCCTTCCTGAGGGAGAGAAGAGGGGGGGATCCTCCGCGTCCTCCTTCCTGCGGGAAAGGAGGAAGAAGAGACCTGTTCTTCCTTCTCCTCCTTTCCTTCCCGAGGAGGACGGAGAAGGGGCCCCGAGGAGGACGGAAAGTAAGGGGCCGCCTCCTGCTTCCTGAGGGAAGGGCAGTGGCGGAACCCCCTTCTCCTCCCCCTCAGCTTCTTCTTGCTTGCGGGAAAGGGAAGGGAAGGGGACCTCCTCCTCCTCCTTTTCCTCCTCTTCCTCCTCCTCCTGCTCCTCCTCCCTGTCTATCTTTCCTGAAGTGGAAGGGGGGGGGGCGAACCTCCTCCTCCTTCCTGAGGGAAAAAGAAGGAACGTAACCTCTTCCTCGCCATCTCCTCGGCCTTTCTGAGGGGAAAAAAAGGGCAAGAAAAGGGAAGGCACCTTATCATCCCCCTTCATCCAGGGGGATGTCAAAAGGGAAGGGACCTCCTCCTCCTCCTTCTCGGCGGAGGGGAAGAAATGCAACCCCCACCTCCTCTTCGCCTTTTTCTTTCCTGAGGAGGGGGGGGAGGAACCTCCTTCTCCTTTCCGAAGGAACGGAAGGGGTATGGCCTTTTTCTTGCCACCGCCTTCCTGAGGGAGAAAGGAGGGAAGGGGCCTCCACCTCCTCCATCTTTGAGGAAAGGAAAGGGAAGGGGCCCTCTCATCCTCGCCCTCCGTTCTGAAGAAAGGGGGGAGGACAGCAGCCTCCTCCTCCTCCTCCTCCTTCCTGAGAGGAGGGTCGGAAAATCATGTCCTCCTCCACCTCAGCCTCCGCCTGCCTGACGGAAAGGGAAGGGAAGGAACCTCCTCTTCTTTCCTAAGGGCGCGGCGAGGGGCGGCAACACCTCCTCCTCCTTCCTGAAGGGGTAGCAGGGGAGGATCCCCCACGTCCTCCCTGCTGCGGAACAGGAGAGAGACGAAACCTGTTCTTTCTTCTCCTCTTTTCCTTCCTGAGGAAAACGGAAGGGAAGGTGCAGCCTCCTGCTTCCTGAGGGGAGGAAAGTGACGGAACCCTTTTTTCCTCCTCCTCAGCCTTCTCCTGCCAGCGGGAAGGAATGGATGGGGCCTCCTCCTCCTTCCGCAGGGCGCGAGAAGGGGCGGGACCACCTCTTCCTCCTTCCTGAAGGAAAATGGAACGAACGGAACCTCCACCTCCTCCTTGTGAGCGAAAGGAAGGGAAGGAACTTTCTCGTCCTCATCCTTCCGGAGGGATTAGCAAAGGTACGAACCTCTTCCTTCTTCTTGATGGAAAAAAGGGAATCGAGGAATCTCCGTCTCCTTCACGAAGCCTCGTCTCCGCCGCGTGAAAAACCTTGAGAGCGCAGGCCCCCGTTGCGCCCCCGAAGGAAACCCCGCCCCGCCCCCTGGAAGAGGCGCGCGTCGGTCTCTAGAGGCTTCATGGCGAGGACGGGGGTGGGGGAGAGGGTTCCTCCCCCCCCTCTGGGCTTTCGGGGTGTGTGTGCCCTCGTCGCCGCGCCTGGCTTCGCCTGGGAGGGATCCCGGCCAGAATTCCGGGCAGGGTCCAGGACGGGCCAGGCGGTCGATTTCGAAGGGGGGGGCGGATGAGGAGGAGGAGGAGGAGGAGGAGGAGCGGCGGGGGGCACGGGGGGGGGGGGCTCCCCAGGGCGAGGGGGGCTTGGCAGGATCTGGGGAATGCAGGGAGGTTCCAGGATTTTCTGGGAATGTTATCTAAGAGAAGTCGCAGGGGGGGGAGGGGTGGCAAGGGAGGGGGATGAAGAGAAGGAAACAGCCTGCCGCACGCTGATCAGCATTGGGTTCTTTTGTACCCCACTCGGCTCGGGACTGGCGGCAAGTAAAGAGCTCGAATACAGGGTGCCGCAGTCGAAGAAGAGGAGAGACAACAGAGGAGTTGCGCTCGGTAATGATCTGTGCTGCTCGTGACGGTCGCTCTTGTGCCATCCATTCTGTTAGTGTTCTGTCTCCACCTCCGCTCCGGCCGCAGACTTCCTGTCCAACGAGATCGCAGAGGACTTGGTGGAAGAACTGTGGGAGGTCCTTTGCCAGATTGGGACGGGGTGGAGGTAGCAGGATCTGCCGAGACGCTACGTCGTATTCGCGGCGTTCATGACATGTTTTCACCGTTTCGATCTGAGACTTGCCAATCCAGAGCAGAGTCCAGGGACGAGTGTTGTGCAGGCGTCGTGGATGCCGCCTGGGTGCAGGCTCGAACCACGCGCAGAGTCGACAGAAGGCTCAGCTTTGAGGCCCGACGCAGTTTAGGCATCTCCGATTGCCAAACCATCTTCCCGTTTGCCGCTTTGGCCACCTGCTGGCCACGCGCAGAAGGGGGTAGTGGGAGGGGGGAAGGCTCCTTAGAAGCTCCCGTGCTTCTTAGAAGGCGCGGGCCTTCTTTGTAGATGCAAGGCCGGCGCCTTCTAAGAAGCAGCCTCCTCCTAAGAAGCCTTCCCCCCTGCCCCCTGCCCCCCTGGTGCGCGCCGCCAAACCTGACGACCTTAAGCTTCAGGCTCCCAGGTCTTTCCGCACCCGCGTGGCTCGCTGAGGTGCGGGTCTGGTTTCCTGGCCCCGAGGGCGCCGCGCCCCCCGAGGGGCATGCTTTTTTGGGCGCTGGCGCGGCGTGCTTTTTTCTCTGTCCGTGTGAGCGGGGGCAGGCGACGAAAGGGCGCTCCTTTGCAAGCACGTCGGCTGCGGCACCGCCTGATTCCGAGGCTTTGCCTCCTCCCGGCCCCTTTCTGTGGCTGCGCCCCCCCCTTCCTCCTCCATCTCTGGCTAAGTCAAGCTTCGCGCGGCCCGCTTAGCTTCGACCAGAAGAGGTGCGCTCTCGACCCGCGAATCAAAACAAGTGTGAGCGGGGGCAAGGTGCAGCCGTGTGCCATGCTACTCCGAAGATGCCCTCTTCGGGGGCGGCCAGGAGGGGAGTGATGACTAGGGTGGTGGTGGATATCATGGCGTCTGCCATGGTATTTTCTGAGATTTCATGGCGTCTTCTCTTATTTCATTATCGTCCCTGCCCCCCCCCCCCAGGGCTGCACACATATGCCGCCGGCCATGATTTGCGCCCCCCCCCTCTTGGAGGCCCCCCTCATGGCCGCCCCCGACCTTGGGGAGGCCGCACCCTTTTTTCTTCGGTAGCAAATGATGGAAGCCTGGTGTACCCTCGTAATTCCGTCTTTAGCCTCGGTTCGCGCCGCGATTAGCGTTTGGGAGTCGGTGAGACAGCGCCGATTTAGCGTCGGTTAGCGTCGGGCAGCGTCGATTTACCGTCGGTGAGCGTCGATTTCGCGTCGATCAGCGTCGATTCGCAAGAGCCCACAAGATGGTATGGGAGGCTCCTGTGAGTTGCCACCGAATTCATTCTCCCCCTTCCTCCTTATCTCCTGTCTGCCAGTCTTCGGTGGCCACATGTGAGCCCTACCCCAAACCCCGTAGATTTCTAAGGGGTGCTGGGGGTTCACTTCGTTCGGGAGCTCCTGAGTGGAGTGAATCCCCATCCCCCCTCAGCAATTTTTGGGGTGGGGGTACGGTTCGTATGTGGCCACCTAGGTCTATCATCGCCGCGGAACCTCCAGCGCGCTCGACGTGCAGCCCGCGTTGAACAGAGCTTTGATTCAGGTTTAGCTAGGGCTTAGCTCATTTTCATCACAGGTTTAGACGATTTTTAGTTTGGGTTTTGCCCTGATGTTAAACTTCGATGTTGGTTCAGTTTTGGTTCGTTTTTAGCCCAGACTAAGCCCCGATTGAGTCCAATTTTTGCTGAATCTTGGCCCTGGCGCGCCTGGTTTTTCTTGTGTACCTGCGGGGGGGTGGCTGGAGTACGAACAAAGGCGGAAGGGAATGCAACCTCGGTGGCGTGATGCGACAATCATTAGAAAAGTATTGAGCAGCCATGACTGGCCAGACATAGGAAACCGTCGAGCAGGTTTACGAATTCGGGCGACGTGGACGCGGCGGAGAATTTCCCGCGGCACTGCAGCCCAGTTTTTTAGTCCTGATTGAGGCCAGTTGTAGTTCGGATTCAGCCCGGTTTTGGCCCAGACTGCGCCTGAGCCGCTTCGCCCCCCCCCCTTCTCCGAACAGAAAGTGCCCTGCTAAAGATCAGACACGCCTGCTGATGTGGGAGTTTTTCTTGATGGGTGGGTGGGTTGGCGTGGTGGGTGTTGTGTAACCAACCCTGGGTTCTCCGTTCTGTTTATTAGTTTCGGTTCCTCCTTCAGTCAGCATGCACGCGGTGACGAACGCGAACTGGGGTGGGTGGGAGTAGCGAGCGGGGGTTTGTGCGTCCTCTTCTTTGTCGTCCACTTCCTCTTATGTACTCGTTCTCTTTCTCTTCGTCGTCGTCTCCGCGTCGTTTTCTTCTACTGGGGCCTCATAATCACCGGAGTTACCCCCGTACCACCTTTGCAGCCTTTTCGTCTCAATTCGGCAAGTGTTCTACGTCCGAAGTCTTCCGCGTACTTGCGATTTCAACTGCCTCTTGTAAGAAGCCATGCGCGAGCTCGAGCACATCCAGGGCGGGGAGGCAGCGATCTGCGTGATTAAGTTCATGCGCTTCACGGTGGCTATTGCCAACATTCATCTTCGAGCCGACGCCTCAGCCACGGACTGGGATGCCGTGATCGATTGGGTGCAGGATAGACTCATCGACAGTGGCAACACCGTCCAGGCGATCGTAGCTGGGGGCTGGAACTGTTTACCCACAGAAACAGCGGCGCTGCGAGCTTGCTTCGCACTAAGAGCTGACCTCGCCACACCTGGTGTTTCCACCAGACTGGATGGCAATCGCGAGATTGACTACTTCCTGACTCGTTGTCTGCGGTCTACACAGGTGGTGGCTCACAACAGGCAGCTCGGTGACCATCTCATGGTCACCATGAACCGTGGAGACAGATCACGCCACGGCTCGCCCACAAGCAGGAGCGTCGTGAACCCATTCCAGCAAGTACGCTGTACCGGAGGCCGCGCCTGGGGCAGATGCCGTAAAGCAGCTTGACCCAGACGCCACCCGTGACGTCTGGCGGCGCCGACGACACAGCGACGGCACAGCTTACGGAGACACCGCGGCGTGGTGGACGGGCTGGGCAAGGCGAGCGGAAGATACGCCGATGTCGCAGCGGCTGCTACGAATCCGCCACAATAGTATATTCGGAGACAGCCTCCAATGGATTGTTCCTGGTGTGGGCCTCAGGGTAGGGTGGCAGTGTATGAATCACCACTGGGAGCCGACCGGCCGACCGACCATGATGATGATGATGATGATGATGATGATGATGATGACGAGGATGATGATGATGATGATGATGATGATCACGGTCCATCGCCATCAACGTCTCCATCACCGTCACCGACACCGTCACCAGCAACGTCACCACCACCATCATCGTCATCATCATCGTCGTCATCATCGTCATCATCATCAGTATTATTTTTATTATTCTAATTGTTAGTATTATCAGTATTATGTTTATTATTATGATTGTTAGTCTAATTATCATTCGGATCATCATTTTGATACTTATGATTATTATGAATGTTCTGACTATTATGATTATTATGGTTATTACGATAGTTATGCTTATTATGATTATTCTGATTAGTATCCTCATCATTATGATTAGTATTAGGATTAGTACTATAATTGGTTATCATTATTATTAGTATTATTGTTATTATTATTATTATCATTATTGTTTTTGTTTCTAGTATTACTCTTATCATCAACATCATCATCATCACCCGTCTGTTCGGGAACGAGCTGCCCTTCTGCCCTTCTGTGTTTTTTTGGAGGGGCTCCGTTCAAAGCCCGCTCAAGTTTAATTTGCATTCGGCCGATGTCGGCAGCGCTCAAGGCTGCCACCTGGCTCGCGGACGGCGTGCTGAACAGCGGGGTGGTCTCTGATGCGGGCTCTTGCGCCATTGCCATTCTTGTGTTCGGCGGGGCGCGCGTCGCCGTCGGTAACGCGTCCATCGTGGGCGTGTTGGTTGGGCACATCATCGGTGCCAATGGCGGCTGCCGTTGCTTGGGAGATCGGCAGCCGCCTTGAGATTCAGTGGAGGGCAGGCGGGGCGTGGCAGCCTCGCATCATCGTGGGCACCGCCACGATTCGCGAGTACGAGACAGTGGTGGGGGCAGCTCACTTAGCTGGAGCGGAGGAGAGGAGAGAGGGAGAGAGAGAGGGAGAGAGAGAGAGAGAGAGAGCCCTTTCACATGCTCACTCCAGACGGAGACATGAACGCCTGCGCCGTGCACCCCGACGTGTTGATGGGCGCAGTGGGAGTCCTCCAAAAGGGGCCGCGCGCCAGCGGCTGGCATGGCCCTGGGCGGGAGCGCCTGGGCGTACGGCGCCGAGTGGACTCCCGAGCCTCGGGAGTTTCTGGAGGCGGTCGCGGCCGCGTCGGCTCGATCCTTCGACGAGGTGACGGCTCTCGTGCGGCCGCCGACGGACCGAGTGGGAGCCTTGGCCTCGGATTCTGCTCCGATTCTGCCTGCGTGGGAGGGCGTGGCCACTCGGCCAGATCCTTGCGACGAGGGGTGGTTCATCCTGGCTGGCAGCGGCCAGGGCAGCTCGGCGCTGCTCCTCAGCCCTGGCGTGGATGTCGGCATCGTTGGCGAGGGCCTGGGTTTCGCGCGGGTGGGGGCGGCGTCGTGCCTCATCTAGCGCGGCAGCTCGGGCACGGCGCTCGGCGCGCGGGTGCTGGCGATCGCGCGGAGACGGCTGGGGGCGGACGACGCCTTGGCTCCAGGGAGGGCGCGAGGCAGCTCGCCGAGGCGACCTGGCCGTCGCGGCCGCTGCCGGGCCCGCGCGCGGCGGGCCGGGCGTGCGGGTTCGTCGTGGACCAGGGCGTGGCGCCGCGTTTGCGCCGCGCCCGCTTCGAGGCGGAGGCAGGCCTGTCGGCGACGGACCCTGGCGTGGAGTTCCATGCGATCTGCCTCCAGCTGTTGCAGATCGGGGTTCCGTTCGACCAGCAGAACATCTCAGAGATGGCGATCTTCGGGTCGATCTGCAGGAAGGCGCATATGGTTGAGCATAGGTACAGTTCGAGAGGAAGTCTCAATGGCCCGACGCGGAGGAGGTGGCGGGCCAGGACCAGGAGCGATGAGAAGGCTGGCTGTAGATTCGGGCCGAGGCCATGGGCCAGCAGGGAAAGGGCAGGGGCAAGGTCGCCGCGGCCGCGGCCGCGGGCGGCAAGTGACTCCTTCGACGGCTTCGGCTCCTCGACCCGTCATCGGCGAAGCCGTGCTCGGCAAACTTCCTTCGCTTCTCGCCGGGCAGGCGAGGCGCTGCGCGGCCTGGGCAGGCTGTGCGGGCGCGACGTGCCTAGCGACTTCGATGCCCTCCCGCTGGGGCAGGCCCGTGGCATTGAGCAAACACGTGCTCGACTTAAGGCCCTTGGCGGGCCTCTTTGCAGGCTGGCGGCGGCCCTCGCGGAGCTGTGTCGAAGTGCGCCGGGCTACGATTGTGGCCCCGTGGAGTCCATCGTGTCACCGAAGGTTGCGTGCGATTCTAAGTGCAACGCTTTGGAGCTGTTGACGGGGCACCCGCGCGAGTTGTGGCACAACTGGCGTCGGCGCTTGCTACGTGGTCCTGAACAGGTCCGCGAACCCGTCCTTCCATGCTTTGACGGGGAACCGCGGAGGTCTCCTCACCACTTCGCGAGCTTCTTGGGCGACGTGCATGACGCGGGAACGCTTCGTTTTTCACCCCGCTGCAGGTCGACGGCGGGCCCTTTCTTCGTTGAGGAGTCTGGGGAACCAGCTCAGGGTGATCCTCGACGCGCGGGCCGTGAATCAGGAGTTCATCGATCCAGGGGCCACGCTGTTTCCTTCGGCAGGGGCCCAGCGCGGTTTCATGATTCCTGCGGCCCGCAACTTTTCGCCGAGCCAGTTCGACATCGAGGTTGCCTTCTACTGCGTCGCCATGCGAAATGTTCGTGCTGCCTGTGGTGCCTGTGGGCGCCTTGCTCGAGGCTCTGCTCGGTGCGGGCGTCGGTTCGCCGGGGGGTGGCAAGGTCTCCCCGGGGGTTGGCGAGGGGTTGGAGCAGGGGCTTGTATTTCTACTAGGCGTTGGTGGTCGCCCATGTGGTCGCGGCGGGGGCCAGCAAGCGCCGCGCCATCCAGGATCGGCGCGGGGTGCCCGACGTAGCCTCCGAGGCCGGCGTGGCGCTGCGCGTGGGCGGGGTGGCGGCGACTGGGTGCGACCAGCAAGCCGTGGACTCCACAGCACAGCAAGTGCATCAGAAGCGCGCCGACCTTTTGGAACATAACTACACGGGGCTCACCTTCGACTTCGGGGCGGGCCGTATCTCCGTGAGCTCGAGCCACATCTGGCGTCTGCGCTTGGCGTTATCGTTGGGGGCCGAGCGCGGGTTCTGCAGCGGCGAAGACCTGCTGTCGCTCCTTGGCCACTACGCGTGGGCCGCCATCCTGCGGCGCTGCTTGCTGGGCGTGCTCCGCAGTGCCTGCCGCTCCGCGCGGGCCGCGGGCACGTGCCGCTGGCGGCTGCAGCGTAAAGTCCGTGCAGATTGCCGCGCGGCGGCTGTCCTTATCGCCTTTGCCTACCTGGGTGCCGAGCTTCCCGTGGGCCCTGTGGTCTTAGCCGCGGATGCCTCGACGGGCTCGGGTGACGGTGATGGCGCGGGCTTCGGGGTCTTCGCCGTCGCTGATAAAAAGGGCGTGGCCTGGGCGCCGTCTGGGCTGCCGCCTCCTGCGTTCGACGAGCCGAAATCCTTCTCATCAGTAATTTTGGGTCTCGGAGCCCACAGGGCGGTTTTTCATGTTCTCCATTCGACGTTCCATGAAGCCCGATGTCATTCCGAGGCCGCGCGTCGAACGTTTTCGATGGCGCGTCGCGTTATGCGATGTCACGTGCGTTGGGGTCGTCAAAGGCTTGCGTGCTTGTTGCGGATCGGTTGATGTGGCTGGGGTTTCTCAGGATTGTACATTTGCTTTGCGCTGGGGCGGTTTCGACCCCCATCCCTGGCTGATCCACCCCGCGGGTAACGTCGCAGGAAGAGTTCGATCATTTCGTTCGTAGTGCCAGCGATACTGTCGCGGACATTGACCGCGCCACGGGGGGGGTCGTCCAGAAATTTCCTAGCATATTGCAGTGTTGGTTCTTCGTTTTGAAGAGACACCGCCCCGCGTCATTCCTTCCGGCCCCCTCCCTCGTCCTCCCTCTTCGCGTATCTGCCCCTGCTCTCCGCGTGTCTCCGTCGTCATCGTCCATCGTCATCGTCGCCATCACCATCATCATCAGCATCATCAGCATTCTCGTCGTCTCCATCATCAATACCACCACCATCCTCATCAACATCATCAAAACACCCCCCTTGTTCCCCCGCGTCTCTGCTTCGCCACATCCCCCGCAAGTCTCGTGGCCTTGTGAGGTGCTCCACCGAAGGCCCCATCGGCAGGGTCCTTAGTGCGCCGCCCAGCCCATGTCGGCACGCCCCTCAGACGCTTCGTGTCCCCATGAGGAGCTCATCGGAGGTCCCGGCGGCAAGGTCCACATGCCGTCGCCCACGCCACATTGATGACACCCTCAAACATTTCGTGCCCCTATAGGCAGCTCCACCCAAAAAAGGTCCCAGCGGCAGGTTTCCCAGGCCGCCGCCCAGCATATTTCGGCATACGTTTCACACGCTTCGTGGCCCCACGGGGAGCTACACCGACGGCCCCACAGGCAGGGCCCACAGGCCGCCGCCCAGCCCATTCCGTCATACGCTCACAAGCTTCGTGGCCCCACTGGGGAGCACCCCCGATGGCCCAAGCGACAGGGTCCACATGCCGTCGCCCAGCCCATGTCGTCCACGAGTGGCGCCCAGCACGGCTCCAAGAGCGCCCCAAGAGGCGCCGAGTAAGTTGCACCCTCATGCAAATAGTTTTTGTCACTTGTGGGGGTCCTCTTGGGGCCCTCTTGGAGCATTCTTGGGGCCCTCTGGGAGCGTTCTTGGGGCCTTCCCGGGGCCCCAGTGGGCCCTCGGAGGGCCCCAAGAACGTTCCCCGAGGGCCCCAAGAGGGACCCCCCAAAGTGGTACAAAGAATTCGCGCGAACGTGCAATCTGTTGTAGGCCTTTCGGGGCCCTCTGGGAGCTCTCTTGGGGCCCCCATTGGTGGCGCCTTGGGGCCTTGGGATGGCTCCAAGAGGCTTCGGGATTGCCCCAGACCGCCACAAGACAGCTCCGAGACGGCCGTCGAGCACCACGGGTGAAAGCAAGTGAGGCTAGGGAACAGGG